ATGGCAATATAAAATAAATTCTTAATTAATCTTTGACGTCTGACTGTTAGTGAGATATTTTTGTTAAATTTTTGGGTGTAAACTTTACTCATTTTAAATGGTTAACTTTTAAGGAATTAATTTGATTAATTATTACTCAATTCTAATTTGTTAAATTTAATTAATAATATTGCTCGTAATCTGTTGCCACAATCAGCTCTATGCACGGCGGTATTTCCGGTGAAGGTTTAAGGATGCTCGATAACTTCCGCCGATCGTAGAGTCCAATGCAATGCCGGGAATTTATATTTAATTTTATACTCCATGGTTCTACTAAAGAAACGTTAGTCACAAAAACAGACAAAACAGACACCCCTCGCTGTGTTTATGCTTCTTTTTTAAAATTATATTAAATAAACATAACTATATATAAAATTACATCTAAACGTATGAAAGTTTCGTTTGAAAGATTATTTTTCACAGTAAATTTTGAAGACTGACATAATTTCCTCGGTTTTCCTCCGCTTTAATATCCCCAACCGGAAACTGACGAGCATCCTTGCGTCAAATACGGAACTTATGCGTGCATATAGCCCATTCTATTGATTAGATAAAGCATGTTAATTTTTACAGTCTATGCGTAAACCTACCAACATCCGTTGCCATGATTTTTGGAATGACTTATCGTGAGAGAAAAAAAGTGATGTTTTAATCTCATAACATCGGTTAATGGAAATTAAATTTAAATTGACATTTTATCGACAATATCGCAAAAGTTTTGCAAAAATCTGTAATGGAAATGCGGCTAATTTCTCAGGCTTTGGAACACCCTCTCTCTTTTATGACTTTCACTTATAGGGTAACCACATTGCCAGTGTTTAAAGGGATACTCCTCTTTTCTTTTTTTTTTTTTTTTGGAAATAGGCTCATTTTACCACTCCCCCAGAGTTAAACAGTCGAGTTTTACCGTTTTCGAATCCATTCAGCCGATTTTCTGATATTTAGAAGACTGTCAGTTACTAGACAGTTTCTGGTCTCATTGGCTTCCATAGTAGGAAAAAAAATATACTATGGAAGTCAATGAGACCAGAAACTGTCTGTTTACTGATATTCTTCTAAATATCAAAAAATCGACTGAACATCTTCGAAAACGGTAAAACTCAACTGTTTAACTCTGGGGGAGTGGTAAAATGAGCCTATTTCCAAAAAAAGTGGAGTATCCCTTTAAAGTCATATTGAAACTGCTTTGATAAACTCTCTCTCTCACACACACACAGCTGCAGAGGGCAGTGCCTCTGCTCATCACCATACTAATGCTGCTTTAATGGACACATTAAAACCCCTGGAATGTTTCTGATGTTTAAACACCCTTGCGATGTTTAAACATTCAACATTTCTCCTTATCCCGTCCTAGTGTGTGTGCCTCTCACACTTTCCCCTCCTGCTTCCTCATCCTTGTGTCTCCAGGCCTTTTCATTTCACATTGTGTGTGACAGTACATCACTGCTACGTTTCCATTTTGTGTCAGGCTCACGCTCTCTTTTTCCTTCCTCTCTCTTTCTCGTCTTCATTGTGATGACACAAGTGACATCTGTATTCCGCTACGTGCTGTGCTTTAGGTTGTTTGTTCACCCCACAATGTAAGGCATTAGCGGAACACATGTAATGTCAATGGCTGCGTCGCTATGACAACCATGCAGGGGTCTAGAGCGAGGGAACGAGGAAAGTGTGAGTGCTGGCATCGCAGACTCGAGGTTGTTAAGATTGTCACGCTCTCCATTGCACTCTCGTAATGAGTGAGAGATAACCGAATTACACCGGATCGGACGTTTTCTTTAATTGCCGATCCGGAGCAGATACCGTGTGTGTGACTGATCGAAGAAGTTCGAGAGGGATTTGTAAACTCGATTATGATTCCCTTGTGCTAGATCTAAGTGTGCATGAAAAATGAGCAGTGTCATTCATAATCTTCATTCCATATTTCAAGATGGAGGAATGAAGTTTGGCTAAGCAATGCCGCTCACGTTCTATTAAATGGGGCAGTAAACCAGAAGTGGGCCCGTAGCCGTCATTGCGACCAACACTTTGAAATGAACATCATCTCTTATATAGAGCCTGTCATAAATTATGGATTTGATATCAAATGCAATTTCTCCCAAAGACAGAAGTGGAAAGACTTATGAGACACGTCTCATAAAAACGAGCCGAGCGTCCCGTGCAATAAAAAAAAAAGAAAAAGAAAAACGAGCTGCTTGAAAGAGTCGTTTTCTCTGGCCATTACCGCATCACCAGTGAAAAGAAAACTGCTGACAAATGCCTGATGAGAGATGAGATGCAGCTTACATATGCGGAGTGGAGAAACACACTGTTGTGATGTTCATGTTTCGCGTCCCTCTGTTCCGGAGTTTCAATGCTACTCTCATGCTCCTAGTTGTCATGGCGACTAACAAGAGCATCTCAGCAGCATCCTAAGAGCTCCAAACACTGAATATTGAAAACAAGCCACTGGCGAGATGACTGGCGTGTCCTGCCGCCCGATCTGGAAGTGTGATAAAAGTGCAGCCTGAGCCGTGGATGCAGTGCTTTAGGGCATGTCATTCATCCTCCATCCAAGAGTTCTTCTTTTTAAGGTTCATCGATTCATTCCCTCTGTGAAGTTTATCCTTTGTTACCCATGTTTTTTTCTTCATTCCTCCATCTATCCATTACAATTGTGTCTCCATAAATACAATTTTCATGCATTTATTCTTGTTTTCATTTATCTTTTTGCTCGATAATTGTGTTCCATGAAGTCACTCATCCAATTTTTCCTCTTTATTTAGCTACTCATTCACCGTTTCATTCATTATTTTTACCCTTCAAACATGAAATTGTTCATCTTTACTCTCCTTCTTATATTATCTGTCCATTCCTCCTTCTTTTCCTCTATTTATTCGTTCTACATTCATGAAGTTGATCCTTCAGTAGCTTTCATGTTTTATTCTTTTCATCCATGAATCCATATACCCCTTCTTCAAATATCGTCCTTATTTTGATTTATTTATTATTCATTACACACACACACACACGCATACAGTGTTGGGTTCACAAATTACAAGTTACTGTGAGTTATTAATGTACTTAGATTACTTTTTCAAGTAAGGAGTAAAGTGATGCATTACGTTTAAATTTACAACAAAATACTTTTTTTTTTAAACAGGCAATTTTTTGTTTTTAATTTAAGGTTTGTTTTCCCATTTACTCAACTCACTTGGATAAAAACAGCTTAATTATTCCTCGCAATGAATACAAACTGTAAATGCAAACTCAGAATATTATGCAAACCTGCAATAATTAGATTTGTTAATTAATACAAATATACGTTATGTATTTACTCACATTTTATTAACCAATGTCTTTGGTGCTGACGTTCGATTTTTATTTTATTTTTATTTTTTTGTGATCAACATTTTTATTGTTTTCTGGGGGGGATCATATGTAACTATATAATGAGAAAGAAAAAAAGAAAATAAAAAGAAAAAAGAATAAGAAAAAGAAAAACATCAAATGGTAGTGAATGGATGAGTGAGACAATACAGTATAATAAGACAATACATAAAACAACAGAAATATGTTTGGCAGGTAGAATTCACATCAAAGATTGCCTAGCTGTTGTCCCTGGACCACTGGTCGTGCAGTTGTATGTTCAAGGTTGACGATGTTGACAAGGCTATGGATCCAGAATGATTCCATACACATATCCGGAAAGAACCGGTTTTTCAAAATCGTTTTCTTTGCAGAGGTAAACCCTGCGAACAACATTTTGACCTGAATTTGCTTTAGATTTATATCAGAATTGTCATTAAGGAGACAGAAAACAGGATTGGGAACATAAAAAATGTCAAGTATATCCGCTAAAGATGAGTTTACATGCAAGCAGAAGTTAGAGATAACCGGACACTCCCAAAACATGTGTAAAAACCTTCCAGGTGAAGCAGTGTTACATAAATGACAGTTGTGAGTAGGTTGTAATTTCATCTGGAATCTCCTATAAGGTGTGATTTAGGCTCTATAATATAGTATAATCTATATAATATATTGTTTTGAAGTGAATTAATTGGTGCGCTAGGTTCTTAGAAGTTCTACTTAGATTATACCATATTCTTTTCCAATCTAGGTTTACATTTAAACTTCCCAACTCCCTGTTCCATATGGATTCAGTTGGTAAAGTTTTACTGCTGACATTCGATTATACAAAAACCTTTTTTTTATTAAAAAAACAATAAGCAAGTCTAGTCTTGTTGAGGAAAAAGTAAAATAACATTACTTTCCATAAAAAAGTAACTGAAGAGTTCAGATGCAAAAGCCTCTAAATGCCATTTGACATTTTCTTCTAAAATGACCATTTTTATCAAGCTTGTATATTTAAGTTCAGTAATTTCACTTAAATGACAATTAATAGGTAATCTTCATTGCCATTTAAGTGAAATTACTGAACTTGAATATACAAGCTTGATAAAAATGATCATTCTAGAAGAAAATTTCAAATGGCACTTAGAGGCTTTTGCATCTGAACTCTTCAACTATAACGTAATTAGTTACTTTTTTAGGAAGTAATGCAATATTGTAATGCATTACTTTTAAAAGTAACCTTCTCCAACTGTGTGTGTGTATATATATATATATATATATATATATACGCACACACAGACTATATATTACTCTGTATTAATTGATTCATTCATTCATTTGGTTGAGTAGTTATACCTTCAGTTTTCTGTCATTCTGTAAATGAATTTCTTGTGTATGTTCTTTGAGATTTAGTGTTGTCATTTCTATTTAATGTTCAGCAGAGACGGTTTACTTAAGTCCCTTAAGCATTCAGCACAAATCACACACACACCACCCCAAGTGGAGAGGTGACTAATGGAACTCCCATCTATCACTCTTTATCTCTCGCTGCTCGCTCCCCTTCTCTTTATCACTTTCACTCAGACTCCTCCTTTATCACCCTTCTCTTTTCCCCCCTTTTCCTCCTGCAGGTTCTTCAGTAACATAACTCTATCTGGACGGGACTATTCCTTTAATAATGATGGTTATCTGGCAAATCCGCTTCTGGATGTTATCTCCTACACTGCAGGAAGAAGCTGGGAGGAGGTAGGGGTGGAGCCATTAGTATGCTTAAATGTGTTTAGATATTCATGGTTATCACTGAACTGTTTTAAATGCAGCTTTCAAGCGAGTTCACATTTTGCCTTGCCATTTAAATGCAATATAATTGAAATGTGAAGAATGCATTTGAAATGAACCGTGTGCATACAGAAGGGACTGAAGCACATCAATGCACGTTCACATTTTATTACAATATATTTTGTGCAAAGCAAATGCAATCAAGGAAGATGAGGTCATATTGTGCTTTTTCATTTCAGTGATATTTTTACTGCATTGAAATTTGTGTGTATAAACATAACTATCATTATTTGATTGTGTTCTTTTGTACTTTGTACATGACCGTATTAACCAGTAATTTTCATCCTCAGTACTTTTAGTACATATACTTCTACATATCAAAATGGTCAACCTAATGGACACTTAGTTTGTAATCTCTCTCTCCCCTATTAAAAACCTTTGAATTCAGGGTAAAAATAAATAAATAAATAAGATGTCAGTTAATACCTGCTAATGTTTTGCTATATAATTTGCAATGTTCCTGTTTCTCAATAACTTGTCTGTTATTTTAAATTACTCTCTAAAGGGAAATTGTAAACAGGGCAGTGCACTTGAATGCAATTGAAAACGATTGCACATACAGCTTTTTTCTGACAAATGTCGATAAGCCATGGGGAAATTTTATTTTTGCAGGACAGTCTTTATTAGTTATTTATGCACTTTTTGACAGTTTGAAGGAGCTGCAGAAACCGTAAATCATTCATTGTTGAGCTAGGTATTTCTTGAGGTATTTCTTGCCATGTTCACTGACAGATTGGTTAACAATTGAGATTGGGAATCATGTGAATTTACAAAGGTGTCGTGCTGCAGTAGCTTTGAAAGGTTTGGTTTTTACGGGTCTTGTTGAAAGGTAAAACAGCTGTCACTGGGAAGACAGGCATTTTATATGTTCTTTAGCTAACTGAATAAAGTCGGGACTACATCCACTAACGATGTAAAGAATGTCAGAAAGGAAATAGACCTGCCACCACCAATCATATTTAACAACTTCAAAGCACCATTATGAAACATTTTGCATCCGTCTGAGTTTTAATGGCGTCTTGCTATTGTTGTAGGTGGGTTGGTGGGAGAATGGAGTGCTGCGTCTGCGTTACCCGCCCTGGTCCCGGTACGGCCCCTTCCTCAAACCTCTGGATGATTCCCAGCACTTGCGCGTTGTTACATTGGAGGAGAGGCCCTTCGTCATCGTAGAGCCTGCTGATCCTGGAACAGGCTCCTGCATCAGAGACTCGGTTCCGTGCCGTCTGCCACTCAACAACAGGTCGAGGTTCAGTCTGTGGATTTTTAGACTAGAAATGTTCAACATTTGAGGTTATCACTTTAGCAAATGTGGCAGTGAATATGCAGATGTTGCAAATTACATTCACATTACCCCGAGGACATTCATTCCCCGTCCTGTCGCTAGCACTGATGGAATTTAAATAAATTAGACATTCACGTAGAAATAGAAGAGGTTGATCAATGATTGTTCTGTTCCAGAGCACTTTACTTCATTTACCTTATTTAAATGGAGAATTTCTCAAATCACTTCTTGGTCTAGCATACTGCGCCTAGGTGAATAGCAGGAAAACTGCTAGAAAAGAATAACATGGTGATATTTTACCTCAAAATTAAGAAAGATAATGGGAATTAGATTTTAATTAATTAGATTGTTTTTGTTTAACCAACTAATTTTTCATGGGTTTTTTTCATGACATTTTCATTATAATTTACCGTAAATAAAAAAATGAAAAATTAGTTGGTTAAACAAAATCGTAATAGAATTAATGTTTTTCTTAATAATGTTTATTTAGAAAAAAATTCTCGTTCTCATTTTTGGAAAGATATATGTTTATATGTGGTAATTATTGCAATGGTAAATGTCATTTGATTCTTAATGAGAATTACTAAAATACTCAAAAGTAGTTACGGTAATGACAGTAAGGGGAAATGTACTTAAAGGGGTCCTATTATGCCCTTTCACAAATTATTTTGTTTTGGGGGGTGTACTAAAATATGTTTTAATGCTTTTTAACATTTTTTCACATATTTTACATTATTATTCTGGTTGAACACGTGGTTTTTGAAATGTTTGGGAAATGAATGTCCCTCCCCCAACGATGACGCTTCAAGCCCAAATTCAGACTTTGACAATGTTAACAAACAAGAGGAACGTGCAGAACGGTTCAACGGTTAATTAATCACAAAATCATGGATAATTTTCCTAAAGGGCAGTCTTACAAAAGCAAGAGCTTACAAAAGCTACAGTAAACAAAACATCAATACTGTAATGTTAGTTATAGGCTAGCGGAGGCAAAGCTTTGTCCTTCGTTTACATCATAGCTATTATAGCTACTATTTAAAACCTATAATTGAACTGTTAATAGAAAACACAACTACAAATAAAAGACATACACATACTTATAAGATCCGAGGTCAGTTTTCTGTTTATAGATCACAATTTGTAAGTGTTTTATTTGTAGTTGGGAAAATGGGAAGCTCAGCTCTACCGGCCTCGTCAACTTTTTTGCGTGTTCTGTGGGCGGAGATTATTTAAATGAGGAACATCATGACTTCAAAAGATCCGGAAAATAACGCGTCGTAGTCCAACTTAGCCGTTTTCTTTTTTGTTAAATAAAATATATCCCTTTGAGCTTCGTAACCTTGCAGATCTTTTTCTATGCTCAAACAGCAACATTACACGCTAACTAAGATTGAAAAAGTGAAAAAGCATAATAGAATCCCTTTAATCTGCAATAAAGTGACAATCTAAAAAAATTTATTAAAAAATATTTTTAGTTGAAATATGGAATCCAATGTTTAGATAAATAACCTATTTCTATATGATCACAACTCTAGTTTCTGTGGAGTAGTGCTGGTTTTTAAAACAGCAGAACCATTTCCTTTAGGAACCTTAATGCTTTATTCTGATAGACCTCAGATCATGTGTGTTTGCTTTAGGTGACACAACACTGAATTCTAAGCAGGGATGTTCATTTAGTTTCTTTGGCTTGGTTTCTCTACATTATTTCTTTCTTTTGTCACTGTCCCCTTTCTGTTTCTTTTTTTCCTTTTCTATGTCTTTCTCTTCTTCTTCCTTTCAATTACAGCATGGTTGTCGAGGGCATTCAATCCATGAAGCACTGCTGCAAAGGCTTCTGTATTGATGTTCTCAAGCGCCTGGCTAAAATAGTGGGCTTCACCTATGACCTCTATCTGGTGACCAATGGCAGGCATGGAAAGAACATTGATGGAGAGTGGAATGGAATGGTCGGGGAGGTCAGGCTCTCATCGTATCTCTTGACTATTTATTGACCCTGATTTTATTATCTCAAAGTCAACTGAATTCAGGTCCAATTTTTTATTTTTTTTCCTTGAATTGTGACACAGATGAAGCACCAGGCTAAATATGCACGCTAATGTTCTTGAATATAAATTATAAACATATCATTTCACTTTTTTTAAAATGTCCAAACTATGCAACATTCGAATTATAAAAGTTAGTTGCTATCTTGACAAACATGTTCACTTTTAATTCATTTTCTCTGTTCGTAATGTTATTAGCCTCTTTCCCCACCAGGTGGTGTCCAAGCGGGCTGACATGGCGATCGGCTCCCTGACTATTAATGAAGAGAGGTCAGAGGTTGTGGAGTTCTCTGTTCCGTTTGTGGAGACTGGCATCAGTGTCATGGTCTCTCGTAGCAATGGCACTGTGTCACCATCTGCTTTCCTCGGTAAGAAAGTAGGAAGGAGCAGCAGACTTTTACAATTAGGCATTTGACAGACAATATCTATTTTCTTGGGAATCAAACCCTTGACCTTGTGTTTGTCGCAGCACCAAATAACAGTTTATTTACTACCTCATTTGGTAGTGTGCATAAAAAAGACAATCAGCAAAAAATCTTCAACATGACATAACACTAAACCTGATAATATTATCAGGTTTAGTGTTATGTCATAACCATATATATATATATATATATATATTGTATATATATATATTTTTAAATGTTCAGCTGGCATAAGGAATCAAATTTTCCTTGACAACTAATTCTGTGTTCAAATAAATGCATTAACAAATGACATTTCAATAACATCTATTGGGTGATTAGAAGCTTGAGATAAAAAGTAGAAAATATGATATATGCTATTATTCCTAAACAAGAAGAATGGTGATATGTGAGAAAATTCTTTAAAGGGATAGTTCACTTTGAAATTAATTTTTCATATGTTTTAGCTTACCTCAAGGGCATCCAAGATGTAGGTGTCTTTGTTTCCACAGTATTTTCAATTTTGATATTTTTAGGTCAAACCGTTCTTGTCTGTCAGTCATATAAAGGAGGTTTATGGGGTCCACCATGGGTTCACCTCAAAGACCAAATTAAACATGATTTAATGACTCGTAAATGTAAGTACACATTGATGGCCTAAGACACGAAACGAGCGGTTTGTGTGAGAAAACGAACAGTATTTATATCGTTTTTACCTCTTGTAACCACAGTCACGTCCAAGTGATCTGAGGGCGAGGGCGCTTCGGTCTACGCAAGTGCACCAGAAAGCGGCGGAAGTGATCTCTCACACTTTTACGTCATTCATTGTTTCAGATTTCAGAAGTGTTACCCTTCACTGTGAATATCTAAACATATTTATACAGGAAATTGCAATGGAAGACGATTTCGATATATCAACAGACAACGTTGACAACCGCGCAAGAGATCACTTCCGGTGCTTTCCGGCGCTTGCGCAGAATGAAGTGCCCGTGCCTTCAGATCACTTGGACGTGGCTGTGGTTTCAAGAGGTAAAAACGATATAAATACTGTTAGTTTTCTCACACAAACTGCTCGTTTCATGTCTTAGGCCATCAATGTGTACTTACATTTACGAGTCATTAAACCAAGTTTAATTTGGACTTCTCTGTGCATGCTCTTTGAGGTGAACCCCATAAACCTCCATTATATGACTGACAGACAAGAACGGTTTGACCTAAAAATATCAAAATTGAAAATACTGTGGAAAAAAGACACCTACATCTTGGATGCCCTTGAGGTAAGCTAAAACATATCAAAAATTCATTTCAAAGTGAACTATCCCTTTAAGTCTTGTGTTGTTCCAGGCTAGGTTTGTTGCGTTTGTGCGGATTTATTATTATTTTTTAAGTTTGCAAAGAGGCTGTTAAATAGGCTGTTTTAGTCAAAGTCATTTAGACCGCTCAATTAAATTTCAATCAAATTAAGGCAATTAAATTAGGGTAACTTTATGGCTGGCGGAGGGATAATTACAGAAGCCCGCACCTTCGGTCACGCGAATGAATTGGTCGAATCTGCGTGCAAGCTCAGGTTAAACTGTCACAATTTAATAGTATGCATTATAGCACCTAACTTAAAACAGGCTGTGTGACTATGAGGAATGATTACCTCAAAATTTACGTTCTCATGCAAGTTTATTTTAATTAAATGCGTACCTCTTTAGCTATTGGCTTGCTATAGACTTATTTGCACAAAATGCAAAAACTTTGCTATAATAAATGGCGCTCAGAGGAAAATATTAAGTGTTTTGTATGTCATGTATTCATTTGTTTTGTTTCTTTCCCACTATTGTAGAGCCGTACAGCCCAGCTGTGTGGGTTATGATGTTCGTCATGTGCCTGTCTGTGGTGGCTGTGACCGTTTTTATATTCGAGTTCCTCAGCCCTGTTGGATATAACCGAAGCTTACAGAGCGGGAAGAGTATGCTATTTCTATATTTTAAGGTTTCGCTCTAGGCATTTCTTGAATGCAATCAGCAATGAAAGATTTGTTTACAGATTGTTGTTTTCATAGTAAGCATGTTCCACAATTCACCTTGAGCTATCTTCCCTCATCTCTCATGTCTTACTGTTGTCTCTCTTTACACTTCCTGTTATCGCCATGTCATAATAAGACATGCCTTCCTGTGTTTTTCTTCTCCCAGAGTTAGGAGGTTCAAAGTTCACCATAGGGAAGTCTATTTGGCTGCTATGGGCTCTGGTGTTTAATAACTCTGTTCCGGTGGAAAACCCGAGAGGCACCACCAGTAAGATAATGGTGCTGGTCTGGGCTTTCTTTGCTGTCATCTTCCTTGCCAGCTACACTGCTAACCTGGCTGCTTTCATGATCCAAGAAGAATACATCGACACTGTGTCGGGCCTCAGTGATAAGAAGGTAGACAGTAATATAAGTGATTTAATTAGTAACAAATTTTATTTTTTAGCTATTACGTTAAAAAATAATGTCCTGGTTTCACAGACGACTTAGATTAAGCCAGGATTAGACCCAGGATTAGTTCAACTAGAACAATTAAGTCGTGTTTCGTTCCTTAGAAAGAAAAAAAAACATTACTGGTGTGTATCTAGAGACAAAACAATGGCACTGGCATATTTTGAAGCTATGCACTAGGTTTAAGCCTTGTCTGTGAAACAGGGGGAATAATTATGATTAGATATGTTTTATATTTGTGTAATAATAAATTTTATTTGCAAATAAGACATTTGTTATATTGAGGTGTTTTCGATGTATAATTTAATAAGTATTTATCATTTATAATCATCATAATGTACAGTATCTACCACTATTGAATATTTTATTTTTTGTCCTTTTTTTAAGGTTTAGATTACCATTTAGCACTAACTTGATAGATTATGGTAATGCCTTTGATGTCTACATTTTTTTTATTTTTTTTTTTATTGTAGTTATTATTGTTTGGTTTTAACAATGTAGGGTATAAATCAAATATTTAGTTAGCATATATATATATATATATATATAAGTTATCAGCAGTGCAATTTTAGTATTATTTATATACTACATATTTATTAATTTAGAATTAGCTTATTTGTATATTTTCAGTTTTAGTCATTTTAGTGCTCAAAATTATTTCAGTTTGTTGCCAACTCAACATTTCTAATTTTTGTTAACCTTCTTTTAAGCTTGTCATTTATCATTTATATTTTATTTTATTTCATATTTATTTCAGTTAAAACAGTTAGTAACACTTTTTAAGAAGCCCAATGCTTATAATTATTTTTGTATCCCAATTTTACTTAAGTATTACTATTCTATAAATATATTTTTAAAGACTCATTAAGACCTATACTATAACTAACAGTTATAGTGTAATTTATATTATTTTTTTATAATTACTTATAAGTCATGCATTTGCTTTTTCCATTTGCATCCTCATAATCCATTATACACTGATTTATAAATGATCAAATATAAAATAGTTCCAGAGACACTTGCTTGCTACCAATTAGTTATCAATGCTGTCTTTAATGGCTATTGTTTGCATTAGTGGTCATAAATGGTAATTTTGATTTGTTAAAATTTAAACATTTTGTTTTTGCTAGTCTGTAACATTAAAAAAGATGCTTTTTTCAACTATTTGTATTAATGATTTCTTTTTTTCTCCATTATTTTATTACAGGAATTATTGTTCATTAGTTACATTTACAAGTAAACAACTTTATGTACAATCTTCATGATTTCTTAACATTTGCTTTAGGGAAATTGCATCTTATGTTTTCACTTTACTTAAAGCCATCAATGATGCATTTATAGAGGTTAGTAACTGTATTATCACTTACAATAAGTGTTTATAAGATCACTGCTATTAATAACAATATCTCACTTAGTTGACACAAATAATTAATAATATTAAAACGTCATTGTAACTATAATATTATAACATTAAAGCAATGCAGGTTGCATCTTTATAAGTACATTCATGGATCCATACGGCTAATTAATACCCATAAATCAGTGTATAATGGATTATAAGCATGCGCAAACAGCAAATGCAAGACTTATAAGTTATTATAAAATTATATGAATGTAACTCTTCTTATTCTGCAGTATAGGTCTTAATGAGTCTTTATAAATATATTTATAAAATAGTAATACTTACTTATAAATAAGTATAATTCATTATAAGCCCGGACATCATAGAAAGTGTTACGAAACAATTTTTTAATAGTTTAACGCTTGTTAAGCCATAAAATAAAAAATAATTATTGGTATCATCAAAGACTTTATTCATAGAAAGACGGTGTACTCGTCATTTTGCTATGAATGGTAGAATATGCTACGCGCAATATGGCGGAATTAGTCCCGCCTTCTAAATAAAACAGCCAATCGCTGATTGATAAAGTCGTGCAGCTGCCGTTAGAAGCTCCGGTTGCTACAGAACAGTCGGTGTTCTGAGACGCATGCTTATGACTGCACGTGCGCATTGGCTGGTACAGCCTGAAAAAAAAAAAACGCTTTTTTTAACGCTATTTGAGAATAAGAAATTAGACCGTTGTTCTCAGATTTCATTGGTTGTTTCAAATTCTTAAATATATTCCTAAGCTTGGATAACAGCTTTGGGGAATTTGATGAGTTAGAGATATTTCAAAGAGATATGCATGACTAAAATAGTTGAAACGCCAAGAGGCATTTCAAAGATGGCCGCCGAGTGAAATAACTTGCCGGGACTTGGTATTGGTCACAATTTGAATACTGGTGCATCCCTATTAACTGGACCCAAAGTGTACTAAACTGAGCTGTGAATATTTTGTATATAAGCTGAAATTGTGATTTATAACAATAACTGACATCAATGTAATATGGTCACACACTGTTAATCCTTTGAAATGGGTTTCATTTGAATGTGAACCAGACATTTGTTTGTGTGGAGGAGTTGGGGCCAAATTATGCAAATAAACCATCAGCCTATAATCACATAAAGCAATGATTTGATTCTCATTCTTTTAAACCCCCATTAGAGGGCCCCCCCCCCCCCATCATAGGGTTTCCCATCATAGTTAGCCAAATTATGAATTAACTAAAACTCAGAGGCCTAAATTGTAATCTCATATTTCAGAAATCTAATGAAGTATCTCCCACTGTCATTTTCAGTTTCAACATCCCACAGATCAGTATCCTCCCTTACGATTCGGCACTGTCCCAAACGGGAGTACGGAAGAGAATATACGGAGCAATTACCCAAACATGCATCAGTACATGGTGCGGAACAATCAGAGAGGAGTGGAAGAAGCTATCGACAACCTCAAAACCGGGTGAGTGAATCACGACAAGTGTTAAACACAATATAAAAATTATAGGAATTACTCTAAAATCTGATTGGGTGATCGAGGTTCAAAGGTGTACACACACTCTCAGAAAAATCTATAGGTTAATCCATGCGTAAACTGTATATAATGAGTGTTTCACAAATAAAAAAATCTTACAAACTCGAGCTTTAATTCTGGCCCTAAATTCCACCACAAAGAATCAAGATGTTCTTTGAAGCAGTGGGGGGACACAGATGTGCTCACAAGTAATTGATGGATATGGGGGACATGATGGATCTCAACAGGGGCATTAATTATTTTGTTGGCTGTCGCTTTTCGTCTCCTTTTCCAAGGAGGGTGTGAAGATTGACGTTTATCCTTGGTGCCATGTCACTGGAAGGACCAAACATTCAGCAGGCATTACTATCACCACATGATACTACTTATTTAACTTGATTTGTTACAGTTCTTGCAGGGCAAGCCTGATTTTGATATCCAGTCAAACTTCATTTATTTTATTTACGTTTTCATTTATTTATATTTTAAATTTATTCATGTAGCAGATGCTTTTATCCAAAGTGAGGAACATCACAAGCGATTTGTTAAAAGGGTGCAGTAACTAGTTTCACTGCCGTTCAAAAGTTTGGAGTCAGGTTTTTTTTTTAAAGATAGTAATACTTTTATTTAACGAAAATGCATTAATTCATTCAAAATTAACTGTGAAGACTTTTGCATTGTTTTAAAAGAATTCTCTTTCAAATAAATGCTGCTCATTTAAACTTTCGATTCTTCAATGAATGATAAAAAAGCATCACTGTTTTCACAAATATTAAGCAGCGCAACTATTTTCAATACTGATAATAATAGGAAATGTTTCTTAAACACCAAATCACCATATTAGAATAATGGTTTGCAATCACAGGAATAAATAACATTTAAAAATTGTGTTAGTGAGCGTAAGAAATGTACTTACTGGGGTCTGTCGCATTTTTAAACAAATCCATCGGGAAGCCAAACCCCTTCATGGAGGAAAACCATTGGTTACAGTACCGCCACAAATAGTACCCGGTCGTCATAGCGACGCCTTTTGTTCCTCGTTGCCCCCTCAATCTCTCGCTGGATCGGCACCCAAACAAAGGAAAGTCTGCACCTTATCGTTTGACCACAGTGTATTCTTCCGAGTTGCAGTAATAATTGTAGTAAGTTTAGTAACTTTCTCTGGCCAAACTATTTAAAAATGGCAGGGATATTCTGGACACTCCATCTGGCTCGTGCAATAATGACGCAGTGAATGGTGACGATTCTCTCTGAACAGCAGTCGGCATTGTTTTCACGTAACATTTAACATTCGCTCAGGACCTCGCTGGAGGTGATACAAAAAAAAGTACCCAAAAGAAGGTACAAGTACAACTTTTACACAGTGGAAAAACCAAACAAAGGCGAGCCGAGTCGAGTCGAGCTGGTACTGTGTAGTGGAAAAACGCTACACGAGACTGTGTTTCATTAGTCTCATATTGAGTGACCACAGTTGTGGCAGCCTCATGTTTACACTAGAACATGGGTGAAAACGTAAAAACATTTTATTGGATATGCCTTTCGATTACACGGTGACAGCGTTTTTGGGGCTTAAAAACGCGAAAAAGTGAAACCACCCTCCAGAGTGGAAATCTTAAAAACGCTCCACCGTTGCGTTCCCGTGTAAAGGGTAAAAACGCAAAAGTCTGCTTGACAGCATAGACAGTATCAGAAGTGGACAGAGCCATCTCATTGAAACTCAATTGAGACAAGTGAAGCCCATTTTTAGCGATTTTTTTTTTTAGGACTTCCACTCCTGACGCGCAGAATCAAACCGACTCAAACAGAGCTTGACGACGTAGATGTGACGTGAGCAACCCGTCTGTCTTCTAGTGGCTGTGGCATGAGAAATCTGAATCATTCCCTTCCGAAACTTGCAGAGGCGGAGAGTGTGAGTAGGAGCTGCCCATGAGCTAGGAGCAGGAGAAACTTTTGCTAGGTATTCTGATTAATTATTTTATCATTTTGCCCGCAAGCTTCTCCTCCTGTCCATACGGTAATCTCTCTACTGTGCGACAGAGAGTCGCGTGGTTATGACGCAATCATTAGCCTACTTTTACAAAAATCTCCTTCTACAGGGCCATAGCATAAGCTACAAGGTAATGGAGCATTTTATACATTGTCATGTTTCTTTAGAAATAAATAATGGACAAATGGGGTCTTCAAACGCCTCAGATGTAAAGTAATTCGCTGTCAAAGTGACGCCAAAATGAATGGGAGTCAATGGAAATGCTAACGCAAGTGAAGTTCTGCTACAAGATGGCGGCACTCGGCCGGCTTCAACTTCCTTCAACTTGACAGTGAAGGTTGTACACAGGTTTGCAGACTTGGTGTTGTTGTGTGGCAGTGCTCCACATTGCCACCTAGCCGCCTGGAGTGCATACTACATTGAATTTCACACACGTCACCATCTGCACGTGGATTTCCCACCCAAAACGCTAGTCTAAACGCAGAATAAAAAGTAATATAAACATAGCCTTAGTGTAGAGGCATTGGTGGAATAATAGTTTTCCTGTAACGGTGCTTTAATACAGTATGTCAAGTCAGTTGACACCACTCTGCATGATGCTAGTTTAGAAAACAAAACTTTAAAAAAAAAAAAAAAAAAAAAACTCTGCCATACTTTGTTATACAAAGAAATGTATTCAAAGAAGCAATTCTGCACTTGTGCATTATTAATTTGCTGCTCCGCATCATAAGATGCCATGATAGTTCCACAATTATTAAATAGTAGTGTACAGTATCAACACGGCCTCACTGCACTTAGATCTGTCTGCTGGAGTGTGTGTGTGTAGGCGTCTTAAAACTCAAGTCCCTGCATTATGCATACGAAGGGCGTGAATATGCATCCCATCTAAAAAAAAAAAAAGGTTATGCTTGCAGGCTAGAATATAAAATCCTGATGTTCCACCTTAGCGATTTCTCGTGAAGATTTCATCTGTCGTTCATCAGCACTTGGTTTGTATAATAGTTGCAGCCTGCAGAGTGAGACTTTCAAGGCAGGCCTGCCAGCCAGGCCTCCATCTAGGTGCTAGCTGATTCTCAAAGGCACTTGTTTACCTCAGTAGCCTACAGTAGCTATTTCAATGTTGCACAGTGGGGGTAGTATACCTGTCTGTGTGTGTTCTGTTTGTTTGGTTTCACCCTTACTGAAATGTGGGCCTCATTTTCCCCCAAGGGCTCTGTTTTGTTGGATTCAACACTTCTGACAAAAGCTTCCACCTTGAATGCTAATGCGACGCTCGTTGGTCTTAGAGGGCCAAGTTGAGCTTGTTAATAACCTCAAGGTGTGCTTAGCAGGAGTTTGAAGAGTAGCCAGTAATAAGCTGTCAATTTGGGGTTTTGCTGCAAAGACATTGGCGTGTTACAAGGTGGGGAAAATGCGATCAAAGAAAAGAGGCATACCGGTGCACCTGACTCTGATAAGGCACAAGGCCTCCTTGACTTTTGCAACTTTCTTTTATGTCTCGACTGTAATAGACTCACCTGCTAAATTATTTAGCACTGTCAATATGCAGTAATAAGATTAAAGTGGATTTTTGCATTATTTTAAGAACGCAAGTGGTGCCTGTGCATGTAGATGTCCCCTTTTTTGCCTGTTTTATCATGCATCAAGGTGGGCCTTTTTAGTCTGATTGCTTAGAAAAATAATTGCACAAATTACACATGATTCCGAGCTTTACATTACAAACTGTGGAAGAAATACGTATTTGTGTAACACACAGCACAGCCACAGCTCAGATATCGTGGGATACTTGCAGCCTGCCAATCTGGTCCCAATTTCAGGTGGGATTTTTTTTTTTTTTTTTTTTTTTTCATTTGAAGACCAGTCTCTCCACAAATTAGTCATCCTATTATGCGCTGCTCATTTCAGCGAGGCGCACGGCCAGACAATAATAACGTTCTTTTGGTGCTATTCTGCAAGGTGCTTGTGCGCATATATTATGACATTTATGGCAAAGAAACAAGGCGTCTCAGAAAACTCTTGATGTATTTGATTATCCACGTGTATATAAAAAAACAGAGTATACATGCATGAAGTAGCTCTTTACTTTAGGCATATTCATGCTTCCCTAGGAGCTTATAATTTCCTTTTCGTCACCTTTATTAATCCAGTCTTCAGTGTCACACAATCCTAATATAATACAATTCTAATATTTGGTGCTCTAAAAACATTTCTTCTTATTATAATTATAAGTGTTTAAACCAGTTTGCTGCTCAATATTTTTGTAGAATATTTGTTTCATAAAAGTCTTTACTGTCACTATTAATCGATTGAATGCATCCTTGGTGAGTAAAAGTATTCATTGCATAAATAAAAAATAAATAAAAAATAAACTTTTGAGTGGTAGTGTTTTTAATAGTTATTCTCTGCTCTGAAATATTTTAATTAAAATTATTATTTTTTTAAATTGTAATTTATTTTATTAATATATATATATATATATATATATATATATATATATATATATATATATTTATTTATTTTTTAATAATGTCATTATACAGTATTCCACTCATAGAAAGGTAATAGAAAGATAATGGAAATCCATGGGTCTCTTAAGGCAGGGGCCAGTAGGAATATCCTAAACAAGTCCTAAATAGGATTTTCAGTGCTGTTAAGCAAACAAATGCATGGTGTAGGTGCTTGGGGCTTGATTGGCTTCACTAATTACCCAATACAAACGATTTAGTTTCGGAATTGGATTTCCCTAAAGATAATCTATGTTTTTGTCTTTACATTTAACAATCAATAAAGAGATAATTAGTCTCTTAAAGTGATTTCCCTGTGTCTTGTTGTTTTGTTTCCAATTTTCCTTTTTCTCTCTCCAGCAAACTGGATGCATTCATATATGATGCGGCTGTCCTGAATTACATGGCTCGTAAAGATGAGGGCTGCAAAGTAATGACCATCGGCTCTGGTAAAGTGTTCGCTACAACAGGATACGGCATTGCCTTACACAAGAACTCCCGCTGGAAGCGACCGCTAGATCTTGCCCTGCTGCAGCTAGTTGGAGATGGTAAGAGAATTTCTAAATCCCCTGATTTTCACCTGTGACAAATAAATATTCTTATTATTTTGTGATTTTTAGTGGTGTTACACTTGGGGGGTGTCTCCCCTCTCTCCATCTCTCATATGCATACATTCACATGCTTTTCTCCAGCATTACTTGATGAAGCTCTTTGACGAGGAACCTAGTGAGTTGCCCCATACTGATTAAACACTAAATGTGAAAGGGAGCTTGAAGTCTCATTGAAATATGATAAATGAAATTAGAAAAAGTGTCACAGCAAATGAACACAATTATGAATCGCCTACGGGTCACTTTGGTAAACAGTGCGGTAGTCGAACGCCTCGATTTTTAATTTTAACGCATTCCAATTTGAATTGGAATTCTCATTAGGGCTGATTTTTGCTTGTTTGAATAAATAAATATAATGAAAAATATTATGATTTCAGGCCCTATGATTAAATTTCCCATTACCTAAGCCATAGTTCAAGGCCATGCTATCATGAATTCAAACACATTATTAACCCATGAGTCAATGCAGTCATGTTTTTGTTTTGTTTTATATGAAAAGAGGATTTAGTCTTATCTCTTTCCCTCCTTCGGTGTGAAGGAATAATCCCCGATATAAATCCGACATCTAAATGCACACGTCGGTTTCTTTCTTTTTTCTCCCAGAAACATGACCTTGTCATTCCTTTATTTTTTCCACAGTGACATTTTCACTCTGATAAATGCACTAATGGCTATTGTTGGAAGGTAGGCCCATCAGTCTAGAGCTTTCATCTACCAACTACTCTGGGCCTGTCTTATCACAAGAGCCTCAAAACCAGGCCATTTCAGACCTCCATCAAAGCTGTTATTATCCTCCAGTTTCTCTTTCTCTGCCTCTCTCTTTCCTTCTCTGTGCCTTTCATGATTCTTTTGCTCTCTTTTTTCTTTCCAATTTTCACCTTTTTGTGAACACAGCGTAATAATAACCGAAGCTAAACCAAGATCTCCACTGTCAGGAGATTTAAATTAAATACTCACTTTTCCCAACAATACAGTTAGATTCTAGTACTCTTTTACCCCCTAGCCCCCCCCCCAATTCTTCTGTCCATCTGTCTGCTTATCTTCCGTGCTTCTTATCTCCTGTCATTGTGCACATCTTTTCATTCATTTCAGATGAGATTGACATGCTTGAACGACTCTGGTTGTCTGGGATCTGCCATAATGATAAGATTGAGGTGATGAGTTCCAAACTAGACATAGACAACATGGCAGGGGTCTTCTATATGCTTCTGGTTGCCATGGGCCTAAGTCTGCTGGTGTTCGCATGGGAGCATCTTGTCTATTGGAAGCTTCGCCACTGTATGGGCCGCTCAGGAGGACTTGACTTCCTACTGGCTTTCAGTCGGGTGAGTGACCCTAATAATACAGTAATAATATTTAAATATAATGTTTTTTAATTGGGTTTGCTGAAATGTTAATGCATTCAGTTCATTTTTAAGGAAAGTTAAAGGGGTGTTTTTTTTTTTCTTTGCATGATTGTGTTTATGGGGTGCAATATAACATATCTTTGTGGGGGGTTTTTTTAAAGCCTTTTTTTTTCATTAATTTCGCCTTAGCCACTTCCTCCTCTATTATTTGAACGACCGGTTGACTTCCGGATTCTTTGAAACCACTCCCTCAGAAACAGGCAATGGGCTCAATGTTGTAATTGGCTAAACCGCGTAGTGCACGTTGTCCGGAAACTTCACGCCCATTAGCTTTACGGACGAAAGTTGCATGTGCTCCAGTCAAATGTAAATAATGGTGTCGATACTGCCGTATCAGTTTGAGCCAGAATCAGACCCAGAAAGCGGCAATGAAGAGAGTCGAGCAGATTGTCCCCAAACACGGCTCTTACAAAACGTTTCTGAATGGTACATTTGTTTTATTATTATTATTCTATTCTATTCTACTCTTAGTATATACGATTTTTTTATATGCTGTTACTTGAAAATGCTAATGCTGCTTGTTAGCTTTTGAGATAGTTTTGTCCTGATTAAACATTTAATATAACCGAATAAATGACAGTAATACCGTTTTTTTAAGTTATTATTTTATCGATATAATGACCAACTGTTTATCTATTCACAAAACTTAGTTTACTCAGTGTATCGTTTTCTTTAGGTGTACATTTGGCTAACTTTATACAGGTTTGTATTTTTTTTTTCTTTTTAATTACAAAGAACGGATTAACTTTAATATCAAATTGAATAAATGTGTTAATGGTGGTTACAATGGTGTTAAATATATTTAATGAATTAGATGCACTAACAAAGGTATTAATGAATATTTCTTATTAAACTCTATTGATATTCGAGAAAAGGTAATAAAACACATTAAGAAACAATAATTGTGCCATAATAATGACTTCTTTCCAGCTCTGCAAACTAAAATCAGTAGCCCAGGAAATGTAAAAATGAACAAACAAAACTGATGTGCAAAAAATGTATGTGCAAATAAAAGTCAAGATTACCCTTTTTTCAATTCTTGTTACTTGCAACAAGAACAAAGACCGACACACAGTAATCTGGTGTTAAATCCTTAGAAGGGAACTTTGAAGCACACTCCTTTAATTCCTGTCATTTTTGAAATGTGATGGCATATCCAGCATTTCCACTGCAGACAGAGAGGGATTTTATGAAAGCCCCTAATTTATCTCATAGTAATGAATAACAGAGGAAGATGACAGAAGATGGATTATTTGTTCATTCCGTATTATCACCGTGTGCCTTTGTTTACATTATGGAAAGAATGAGAAGAACCTTAAATTCCTAAACAGACTTTCTTTGAGAGAAATGTAAGGCAGTTCGGTTAGATGGGACACTCAAACAGTGAGGTCAGCACTGCCATTACCTCAGAGAAAGGTTAGCTGAGCTTTACAATTTCATTATTATGGTAATGTTTCAGAGACATTTTCCAAGCATCTAAATCTGTTTGTATGTCACCAAGGGGAATATTATGATATCCTGAACTGTTTGCTAAATAAATCTTTTGCTTGTTATTTCTTACAGGGAATGTACAGCTGCTGCAATTTTGAGGATGAAAGAGATCATGGATGTTCCCAAAGCACACTTCCTCAATATCATCATGTTTCCACAGTTCCTCCTCCTCCCCCACCTCATGTAATCTCTACAGCCATGGCCAATCCCACTATCGCTAAGGCTCAACAACAACAGCAACAACAAAAGCAACACCACCAGCAGCCACCACCAGTATACAATACTCTTCTTCCTGGCTCTCCTCCATCAGGTGGACATTCTGCAATGGCTTTAGGGCCATCGAACAGTCCCATTCTTGGAGCACCTATGCCTTGCTCTACTTTCCTACCACGCCATGATCGGCGATTAGCTGTGGTAGATCGGTGGACACGTCCAAAGGTGGGCCCTGAGAAGTCCAGTGGTGTGAGCAGTGGGATTACAGACTTAACACAATTCCAAGGCATGCCCCCTCACTGGGGTGCAGGAATAACTGGAGGGGACGGAGGTCTGGATGAGTACAAGAGATACTATGGGCCAATTGATCCAGAGGGCTTAGGGGTATCTGCAGAGCCTCAAAGCATGGGCACTCAAACTCCAAAAACTAAGCATCGTGGGACAAAATCCTCTGGAAATCCACGGTTACCTCCTAAAGGTCAAGCTTCTGGACACTTGCCAATTAACCCTGCTTTGCCACATCCCTCTCCACCCCATCAATCTATCTGGAGGAGAAGCAGCTTCTCAAAAAGGAAGGGCTCAGGAGCGCCACTGTACGAAAACATCCTTCCACTCGGAAGAAGAGGTGGCGGCAGATACGGAATGAGGGATGGTGGTGGAAGAAGAGGACGTCGTCCTCCTCCCCTTCCCCTGCCTATACCAGTGCCCCTCTCTTCCCCAACACAAACTCCACCCTCGCCTTCTCCATCTATATGTTACACATCCACTTCCTCTAGCAGCTCCAGCACCTCCAGTTCATCCTCTTCTTCAGAGTCAGTCTCCCGATCCAATTCTCCCTCCTCTTCATCATCATACACATCATCACAGAGCTTCAGATACCGGGCAGATGTTCAAGACGTGTATGAGGAATACGACACCGATGAGCTTACAGAGGAATCAAGCTTGCTTTTGGGGAGGAGAAAAAGTCGTTCTCGTATGTCTTCTCGATCCCTGCCCAGCAGTCCCCCGCCTCCACCTATACCACCCCGTAAACCTTGTCCACAAAGGGCGCAGGTGAGAGATAGAGCAGGCACTCAGCTTGCACAGCTTCAAGAGTGGTGGGCATCTTGGGGGGAGAAAGAAAAAGGTAGAAGAGTAGCTGGGGATAGAGAAGTTAAGGAGGAGAAACGGCATCACAAAGAAAGGGAAAGGGAGCGAAAGAGGAGGAAGAAGGGTAGAAAGAAAAAGAAAAGAGAAGAGCGTGAAAGAGAAAGGGAGCGTAAAAGACGTAAAGTGAAAAAGAAAAAGAAAAAAGAGGAGAAATCCAGAAGAAGAGAGAGGGAAAGGCGACCTGAACAAGAGGAAGTAGATGTGGACAGGAAAGATGTTTTTGAAAAAGGAATAGGACAGGAATGTTATTCCTATCCTGCACTGAGGCGGAGCTCTTTCCGAAAAAAGAGTGAAAGCTCTACCAAGAGTTATGAGTGGGATATTATCAGAGATGGAGTAAAAAGAGATAGGGATGATCAAGGAGGGGATAATGAAGACAGCAGTGGGAGAAAGGAAAGGCATCACAGAAGCCCAAAATCCCTTCACCACTCCAGGCCAAGGTCCAACAACAAGCATTTTTCCACCTCAAACAAACCACCTTCAACCGTCAAATTTTGGGGTAGTGGGAACCCAACTTCAGAATCTCAATCAACTTTTGTACCCCTACTTCCCATCACCTCTAAAAGACGAAAGTCTGTAGGAGCTGAGAGAGATGAGCATGGAAGAGCTGTAGAGAGTCGGCCCCTTTTGGAAAATCACTGTAGAGGTAAGCCTTGCTCAAGAGAAGGCCTGTCGTTTCATGAATGGGAATCCGATGAAGAGGATGAAGAGTCTGAAGTGGAAAGAAGTAGGCCTGAAGAACAGGGGAGACGGCGAGAAAGCAGAGGAATGAACTCAGAGTCCGAAAGGGACAGAGAAAAAACTGTCGACATATACACAGATGATGAAGGTTCCTCTGGAGAGTTTGGTAAGTTTGAGAGATACTGGGAGGGTCACGAAGGAAGGGCAGTTGGAGGCATTGGGGGAGGAGGATGGTTCTTTGGCACCTACCCTGCCAGAGAAAGAGGAAGCAGTATAAATAGTAGAGATGACTCATTTTTGGGATTGGGTGGCAGAGAAAGTAGCTTGAGGTTTGGTACAGGAACAGGATGGGGATCAGGAGGCTTAGGATCAAACCAGTGGCCTCCAACTCCATTGACTCCCCCACCACCTCGAAGATACTGGTCTGTTGATAAATTACCAGTCAAGACTGAAAAGAAATCTAAAAGCAGGTCTCAAGAGAAGAGTCGAGGCCACACATCCTGTTCCTGCCAGTCGCCCCATCACTCTGCCAGCACTCACTCCAAATGGAATCGTGTGACTTCTAGGAGTCAGGAGGAACTACTCCCCCACTGCCACAGTTTCAGCAGCAGTGTGAGGCCCAAACGGCAATCATCCAAACCGGATCGGGCTCAGAGCCAGGCAAAATCTGGAAGCCAATCCAACATCAATGCACAAAGACCCCAGCGCTCAGACCGATCCCGGCAACCGCCATCCCCTCCTCAAAGTCTACCACCTTCTTTACCATCTCCATTGGTCCCTGCACTCCCGGCACCACCCTCTTCCTCTCACCATATACATGTACCACCACCTACCTCCTCCTCCTCAGTTTCCTCCCCTTCAGTTGTCTCATCTACACCTGGTGCCCCACAGCCCTCCTCTTTGTCCTCCTCTAGTGCTAAGCTCCAATACCAGAAACTGCGGTCAGTTCCCCAACGGTATCAATCCCCACATCTTCCCCTCAAAACCAAGAGCCTATGCTCCCGTCGAGGCTCTGCCCAATTCTCCAGTGTGGAGAGTGAGGTTTGAGGAACATAATTAAATGAGGAACATCAGCAAATAGCCCCAGAGGTGATCGTCACCTGCTCCTGCCACAAACTGTTAACTGTTCATAGCAGTCGAGTTGGGTTGTTTTCGCTGGCACCCTCCTCTTGCACAAAGCTCTAATGCTCCTTAGAGACAAACCTGGATTGGGATGTCACATAAATTGTAGCCCTTTCCCTTTCTTGTGTAAGAATGGAATAATGCCATGCTGACAAATCTTGTGGATGTTAGCGAGGCTGTTCATGTGGAATTGACTTTGCTTCTCTTAACTTCTTGGGGGCTTTAAGGTGGCGCGTTGATCATGTTGGTAAATGTGATTTTTGAGTTTTTTTGCTGCTCGATGGCTCAGGAATGATTTTTTCAAAGAACAAATGGAGATTCACCATAATGCTAGGGGTGTAACGATGCATCGTTATATCGGGAAAAAAAATGCATCGATATGTACTTGTGTTCCAAACACAAATGAAGATATTTTTTAATGAAACCTGATAGATTTCTGTCCCTCCATATAAAGTCAATTAATCTTAAACTTAAAAGATCCAAAAAATGTCATAAAGGCATCGTAAAATAGAGTGGACTCTAATCCAAATTCAAGTCTTCTGAAAAGACACAATGGATTTGACAGATTTACAATCACGCGCATACTGTAGTAAACACGGACGTTAAAATGCTTGCGCGGCGTTCAAGAGTGAGAGTAAATGCAGAATACAATTTTTTGGATTAACTAACCATTTACAGTTTGGGAATTGCAATTAGAACTGTGATTGATTGCATTGATCATCTGTGTGTGCATGCACACTGTCAGAACCGGACTTTTCAAAGTGAAAGAGTAAACATAATTTAAATCAATACATCAAATTTAGATTTAGTTGTATGATTATTCAAAGCATGTTAGATGGTTTATTCTTATATGTTTTGTACATTAATAGCTGGAGAGGTGGGACACAGCGAGCGCCAGGAGATTCTGTGTGTGCTTGTCTGTGAAAGAGATCCAACGAATGCCTGTATTGAAAGCACGTGTACTGCGTTAGGAAAAAAAAATTAACGTTTATGAAGTTTCAGAGACATTACTACATTAGACTACTCTATAAAATGTTGAATATAATGTATAATAATGCAATGGGGGAATATTTGTGGGTCCTGATAATAAAATAAAATAGTAATAATAATACATTTTAATAATAATAAAGTTGTAATCATAACAAAAAAAAAAACTCTCTTCTTTATTTCGGCTTAAATTATCGCTATGGTATCGTGAGTTTAGTATCAAATCGTGACATGAGCGTATCGTTACACCCCTTCCTAACGCCCCAAACCCATATTTTTTGCGGTCTCTTACTCTGAGCTCTGGACCATGATGTAGTTGTTGTGTATATTTGTTCAAAATATCTCAAGGGAAGCATACACAAAGAAAAGTAGCAATCCATCTTACTCCTCTCGGAGCATTTTCCTTGACCTCCGCCTTCTGCAAATAGACATCTAGCACTCTGTGCGTTGTCATCAGTGTTTGCATTCCTACAAACAGGGTAAGTTAGCCATGACCGATAACATACAGTGTTGTTTTACTGAAGCTGAATGCCAAACTTGTGGAGCTGATGTACAGTCCTGTTCTGTTGAAACCATTTCACAGGTCCTCACATTACATTCTTATCCCTTGAGCAATACATAATTAACTACAAACAGCATTCAATACATACATTTTATATTTAAAAGTTATTTTATTATATATAATATATGTTTTGTGATCTGGTTCAGAACAGTTAGGAATAACAGTTAGTTATTCAAACTAAGAATATAAGCACTGTGCTGTATTACCACTAGGGCACATGCAATGTTTCAACTACCTATAATCGGTGACAGCCCTTCCCATCTCAACTGAATGTACATGTTGCCATGACAACACGGTGTGCTGCAACCAAGACACTTTTAAGATCGTAGCTTTCTAGTCTGAGCCAGTTAGGGTAGCTTTGACCGTTGATGTTTTGAGTGCCAGGATGACAGGGCTAGCCATACTCCAGCACTGAACTCGCTTACTCAGCTGTCAGTGATGAAAGACACGTCATCGTTCAGAGAGCGATAAGCGAAGGAGAGCACTGTTTACAGTTTAACACTGTGTTTTTACACATTTTTTACAAGCTATTCCGCTCTTAGCTTCGGACACAATATCCATACGTGCTTAGCAAGTTTGCTTAAGCTGTAGAATTAGCAGCAAGGGTAAACATGTCAAATGGGAGCTGCAGTTTTGTGCTTTTACTAGACATATCTGTTAATATAAAATAAAAAAAGCCAGATCAAGTATTCTGTTAACTGTGAGGAAAAGACTGATTAGCAAACCAGTCAGGTAGACCTTTTGTTTCATTTCGCTTTTACCATTAGCCAAAAGCTAGCATTTTTGAAGTGATCGCTATAATTGACTGTGAATAATGCTAAGGGCAATGCGTGTTGGCAGCAGGTCTGAGTCAACTATGTTTTGTTTTATTTATTTTGTTTATGCAGTATTTAAGTTGTCATTGTCTTTTGTTTAAGATTAGTGGTCAATTTTGTAATTATATTGCCTTGGCAAAGCCAGCGTACTGTATTGAACACATTTTATTTGATGTTTTTCGAAATCCCCTCACCTTTGTGAACAAATTGGATTATGTTCAAGCTACATTAACCCCATTTGATAAGTGTGTGTCACTCAAACGGCTCACACTGATGTTTCAGAGATGAATATATGCAGGTTATAACATGTTTTAGGTTTCTTCTGATCATGTAAGCACATTACATGTTATCACTTTGAGAAAACCCATACAGGTGACTACTATATACCAAGCATAATGCTGAAAATAATCCTGTATGAATAATTTGTTACATATGGTCTAAAAAAATGAGTCTGGAAAAATGTTATTTAGGATTTTTAAACTTTCAGACATGGCTTTGTCAAGCCTTTTTTAAATTTGATTTGAAACATTGTATGTATTATGTTGTTATTTATATATGTATGTAATTGCATATTTGACACAGAACCACGCACAGTCCAACAAGCTAATTGTTTTTTGTGTGTGCTTGTAACTGCATCTGAGCCATATTTAGCTTATTCGTTGTATGCTGAGCTTTTTACAAGTAGTACTAATTAATTGGGGTATATTTTGTTGTCAACGGGGTGAAGCGTAATGTTAAGAGACAATGAAACAATGGGTGATGATTGTTTTCATTTTTTTAAAGACAGATGACTTTTGTTTGGAGAAACCAGGAGGGCAGTAAAAAAAAATCTTGTCAAATCTGACCAGAACCATAACACTCTGCCTCACTGTCATGAATTTCAGAGTAGTATTAACGTTTAGAATATTTGGCAGCTTATGTATGTATATCCTTTTGACTCCGACTTTGTTGTGTAATAATGTGTCTGGATTACTTTATATATAGATGTACCTCATATATGTGTTTGTGACGTTTAGATAGCAATAGAGAAATAGCTGTTCAGCTAAGCTGTATAGCTGAAGACAACTTCTGTTGGCAGACTTTATAATTAAGATGTGTTTCATGTATTAGCTGCGAAAAAATACTTTTTTAATTCTCTTTCCGTTCCATTGCGCACATTAAATTCATCTTTGATCAAATACTTGGGCTGAATCAGCAAGGACCTTAAGATGATGCCTTTCCCCCTCCATTTTATTTTCAAATGATAAAATATCAGGCATATATTGCACATGCTTGATTAGGAACCACCGCCACCCAGAATCTTAAAAAGGCCTTTCTCTAGACATGCGTCTTGTTGTGTTGATGGTGTCTATGAAAGTAAATGTTTTGTTTGTTCGTTTGTTAATTACCTATCGAACAGCAGCAAATAAATATATACCTATAGATATAAATTATATATTTCAACAAATATAAAACATGCATATATATATATATGTTTATCTACTAAATTTATTCTCTTTAAATTGATCTTCTTTTGTCTCTTTGTCCTCTTTCATCTCATAACTGCTGACATCAGAGACCAGTTTTCAACTGTGTTTTTATGAATAACATGGCCGACCACAATGAATTTACGTTGCGAATAACCAATGGCGTGTATGTGTCACTGTGGTGAAAGTTTTGGGACGTTTGAGAACAGCTGTAGGCTCCACACTATGGGCGTCCATTTTGGTGTGGTAATAGATTTGACCTGGCTACGTCAAAACCATTGCAGTCTCCACGTGTCACACGGTTCTGGCTTTGAAAGCGGTATGCGTGTGCGCTCTGTCTTTGCCAAGCTGTAGTGTATATGCTGAAAACTCATTCGAACACATGCGATGCTGCTCTGTAATACTTTATGATAATGTAGCTGAGCAGAGCCAGTTATGTTTTATGCCACTCTGTGCCAGGACGGTAGTGCCCCCCGGTACCACTGTGTTAGGTTCTTGTGCCATACTCCTCTCAGTTGGGGAGCCTCACAGGGGGGCCACTCGCTGGGCCGCTCGACCATGGAAGACTATACTATGCTGTGCTACGAGCAGAACAGAATAAAAGACTTTTAATACGACACTGTTTGGTCTATTTTGTTGTTTCCAGCATGTGTTCAACAGAGAATCTGTGTGATTGACAGCAAAAAGCGGCGAAGAATTGTTTAAGTCTTTGTTTTCTCGATTTCTGGGGAGAGAGGACTTAAAAAGAGAGAACGAAAAGCCTTTTGAAGTCGCTGGTGCAGGACCCCTATGTTTTGCCTTGATTAAAGCAGTGAATCTTTAGCAAGTTTTAATTGAGTTGAGAAAAGTTTGGAAAAGTTATAGTCTCTTATGCTCACCAAGGCTGCTTTTGTTTTATTAAAATACAGTAAAAAAATATTTCACGCTTTAGGCGCCCTTTAGCGTCAGTTACATGACGCGATCCTACGGCGTCAACTAACTGACGCTTAAGGAAAGCGTCAGATGACGCAGGTAGGTTTAGGTGTGGGGTGGGGGTAGGGTTACACGCAATCCTAGGGCGTCATTTAATTGACGCTAAAGGGCGCCTAAAGTGTCAAATATTGAAGCATGGTCAAATGCTTCCCAAGGCGTCAGTTAGGTGACGCCTTGGGGGTATTACAATTTAAAAAGAACTACATTTTCTGCTTCATTACTTTAGTCTTCAGAGTCATGTGATCCATAAGAAATCATGCTAATTTGCTGCTCAAGAAGCAATATTATCAATGTTGAAAACAGAAGTGCTGCTTAACATTTTTGTGGAAATGGTGATGCTTTTTTCAGGATTCTTTGATGAATAGAAAGTTCAATGAACAGCATTTATTCAATTTATTTATTACATAAATTGAAAGCATTTGTTAAATAGAAATCTTTTGTAACATTACAAATGTATTCACTGTAACTTTTGAACTAGTTAATGCATCCATTATGAATAAAAGTATTAATTTATCTTTTTTCACCACAAATGTTTTGCACAAATATGTAAAAGAAATGTTCTTGAGCAGCAAGAATGATTTCTGAAGGATCATGTGACACTGAAGACTTGAGTAATGATGCTGAAAATTCAGGTTTGCCTTCCATGAATAAATTACATTTTTACATTTAATAAAATGGGAAACAATTATTTTAAATTGTAATAATATTTCACAAAATTACTGTTTTTTGTATTATTAAATAATTTATCAAATAAATGCAGCCTTGGTAAGCAAAAGAGACTTCTTTCAAAAACCTTCCAAACTTTTGACTGTATATACAGTTCGTACAATTAGTTTTTTATATTTTCAGTTTTATTAAGCTTTATTTTACAACAGTATAGCCCACAATTTTTATCTTGTATATATCTTAACATTTCTAAAGGCATTTTTAATCAATTTTATTACTAATCACAGTATCCTGCACTTTTACAAAAACTCAAAAAATGCAAAAATTCTACAAAATTGCTCGTATTGGCCATATTGAAATGCATGATGTCCAGTGGTGTTGGTTTGCAGTAGCATTACTATCTATTCACTATCCTCAGCATAGGATTCCCAGATAAATCTACAATTTATTATTCGATTCCAAATATGCTAGCATCTGCTGTGAATTCAGCATGTGTGCTCTGCGAGAGTGAGTGAATTCATATTGGAAACATGAGATAAGAAAGCTATTGGAGAATGGACACAAGCAGTTGTTATGCAGGAACATTAGGAACGTATAACCCAAGAGAACCATAAGCATGTAAAATGCAGATGACAGCTAATTTGCAGAAAGCGTTGCCTCTTCTTCTCACACTGAGGTGAAGGTAACTAGTATTACTCACTCCAGAAAGAAAAGCGAGACTGAGAGGTTACAGCGGGTTACCAGAGTAATAGATTGAGCATTTATAACACATTTTGAACAGACTGTTGCTGCAATCCCCCCACCCCTCCCCTCTCTCTCTTGTATCATAAGTCTGAACTCTCTTTCCCATTTTTTAATTAGTTGCAAATGCAAGATTTATGTAACCACACTGTTTCCATGCCAATATAATTAACCGATGGGGGCCATTTACTGGAGATTAATGGAGGAAATAAAAGGCGAGCTGTAAGAAAATCTTTACGTTTCAGAACTGAAGAAGAAGGAGAAACAGAGAAAGGCTTGTTCAATAAACGCTTACTTGTAGGATCATACATAAGTAGGTCTATTCACTGACAGTGTTCGCTATTTATTTCATATCAAACTTTCTTTGCATCTGTTACTCTAAACTGCAATGCTTGTGATAGATGGTAATCCAAACAAACACTGATTCCGAATCTTTCAATTATGTCTTATCACCAAACCAATTCTATTTGATGATGTGCCAGTAGTGCAGGGGCGAGTATCTCCCCAGACTTTCGAAAGATTTTTCTCTCCCACCTCGTTTTCTGTGTAGAATGTAGAGCAGAAATCAGGCCAAGGAGAAAGACGATAAGGGAGGAAAAAAAAATCAGACAGGCGGTTTTGAGAAAGATTGGGAGAAGGACAGACATACAGGAAAATAGAGAGAAATCTGGGATTTGGGGGGAGGGACTGGTTGGGAGAGCCAGATAAAATAATCAACTTTAATTTGAAATTAATTTAACGGTGTGATTTACGAAAATGCACTGATAAACTGCTGCCTCTGGTGAAATGCACTCAGGAAAATTTCTATCTTGATAGAGCCCCTGCTATTGTGTGGAAGTTGGATTACAGCATCACAGGAAATGGATGCCTGCAGTGAGATTATCCAACTTGAATCCTGAGAGGTGGAGGGCAGCAGCTCGTAATCACTGTGACAATTAAAAGCACCATTTGGGGTTCCTTGGATCGTCACGCTGATAGAACACAACGGAGAACATCTGCACGTTCTTTTGAAGGTATCTCTAATATTCCTTACTGACAAAACTTCAAATGTGTATTTCGAGTGCCTGAAGTGTTATTGGAGATCTTGCAGGAACTTCCACTTTTAAAGGGTATCCTAGAGGTTCTCCGGAGGTTTCTGCCTGCAGTGTTGCATTCCGAGAAACCCCAAATGGTGCTACCTTTTTGTTATAGTAATGCTCTTTCTATTCAAAGCTCAAGCTTTCTCACTCAGCAAGCCTCTTCTATCTATGTTTTGGTAGCCTATATAGACCTTATTCAGAGGAGCGCCATGACAGAAAGACTGGGATAGGCTTATCAATGGCACTCGCTGTAAAAAACAAAACAAAACAAAACAAAATGGATAAAGCTTCTATTGCCTGTTGCTGTTGTCTGGAGTATACTGAAATATCTTGGAAAGGTATTTTTGCAGTGTTTTGTTAGCAGAATAATCCAAAAACATTAAATAAAAGTACAACTCACTGAAAAGATGTAGGCCTATGTCTATCCCTCACACAGCCTCGCGTTAATGTCCGTTAAAAATCAAAGATGGCGCCGACGTGTTTACGCAAAATGAACTATCCTGGTATAAATTCAGATCATTGATGCAAATGCTTTAAATGAACATGCTTGTTGGCATAACAATTTGAGTGAATCTCAGATGTTAAATGTTTACTAGCCTGGATTCCACTGTAGGTGCAGCGATTGAACATTTTCAATGTAATGAAATTACGAATAAAAGGCCCATATATCATGGCATTCTCATACCATGCCACAAGGGGACAGCATTTCCATACTTCCTTACAGGAAATCCCAAATAGAAACGTTCAACAGGATAGATCATAAATCGGAATGACAACCAATTACACAGCCTTCTGCCTATTAAATCCACTAGTACAGCCACATTTAGGCCAAGAATGAAAACACACAAAGAAAATATGGCCCAGCTGTCTTGACGCATTAAATATACCAATAAACTTCACAGTGGTGGATAAATTTATCCTGCGCATGTGCCACAACTGACAGCACAGCAGTGGGGCGCTTTCAGGCTGAACTGGGGCAGATAGACAGAGGGAATATCTGTGTTCGAGCATATACTGGATGTTAGACCATATAGACAAGTAATAATGACGAGGTGGAACTTTATTGGCATCGCTAAATTTAAAAAAAAAAAAAAAAAAAAAAAAAAAACGGCTGTCAATTTAAAGTGGTATCGACAAGAAATGATCACTAATGAGAACTTCAATTGGGGGCTAATTGATTATGTGGTGCAGTAAATAGGCTACTACAGTTGTGTGGGTTTTTTTTCTACCCGAACAAGTTAGTTTAGCCAAGAATTACAAATAAATAAGCTAAAAATAGCCTATAGGCTATACCCAATTGAATTCTGAGTAGGCCTACTCAAGTATACTCAAAAATCAGTACTTAATTTAAGCTTGTAGAAATTAAAGAGTAAATAAATGTTATACAATTAAATAAAACCTACTCAACTTTCTGATAATGGAGTTCCCATAATGCACTTGGGCATGAATAATTAATAAGGTTGCATTTTCCACTGTTTTGTCATTGATCTTGCTGTTTTGTGACATCTGGAGTTTATTTTCTACTCAAAATGATCACATTAATACCTAAAAATGATCCAACGTGTGTTATTGTGTATTAGGTCTCTGTGCTTGGATGGGTACACAGCAGTGTTACTTATATTTTGTGGTGTTTTCACAATATCTACTGTAGGCCTATTACTTAAACGTTCGGAGTAGGCCCTTGCACACTGAGTCTGAAATTTTCGTGTGCGTTTTTTTTTTTTTTTTCTTCATATTTGTGATTCGGTGGCTCTGATTTGTCAAAACACCATTCAAAACCCATTCAAACTGCTTGCTATTGCAAAGTAAACTTCAAAAAATCACTCAAACCTATTTTCATTGTTTATCGTACTTAACTTAGTCAAGCAGAATTTACTTAATTCATATGTGAAATTTACTTAAAACATGTGTGCAAAAGAAAAAAATTTAAGTTAATTTTAAAAGTAAAGTTAATTTAACAATTGTTTTCAGTGTGCAGACAGTTAGCAAACTGTAGAAGTTAGCAAACAGCATACCTTCTTTCAACGTTCACTTTCTCACACTGGAAAAAGACTTTGAATTGGATTTTCCTTTTGCAAGTGTTTTGCACTTATACTGTATATAAATAAATATAATATAATAAAATATTTAGTTTTACAATATATATATATATATATATA